GAGATGGTACTGCACAGTAACGCCAGTTACGGCATGGTCATTTAGTACTTAGGCAAGTCCACCACTTGTGTAGATGTGGCCCCTATGCCTATGCTCTACAACGGGTATTTCCCATGCTTCTGGGCTTTGCTGGTTGCCATACAGGGCTGGGAGGGAATATTTCCTCTGCATAGTCAGCATCTCGTGTAGACATGGCCTCTGAGACTTAAACCTGGAGGTTCCTGACTAGAAAGTCTTGCCCTTCTGCTCAGGGTCAGACCAATTGACATATTTGGGCTCCTGAAGGAATTTTATCCCATGGTCAGATGTAACATGGTTTTTTTTGCCTTCCTCTATAGGGAGGGATGTGGGTCTTCCTTGGGTCTATATTTTGACAACCTTTGCAGCAGCAGAACATTGGCTGCCATGGTCCCCCCGCTTTATGTCTGGCAGATTAGGGTGTTGTCTTGTGTTGGATGACTGTGTAGTTTTGCTAAGAGGTTAGACAATGGATTTGTATAGGATGGTTTGGACAGGGATGGTCCTGCCTCAGGTGGAGTGTTGGAGGTCCCTTCCAGTCCTACTTTTCTATGATTCTGTGATTCTAGGTAAAAACCTGACCCTACTTAAAGTCAATGGGAGTTGAGTGTTTGACTCACTGAGGTGAGGATTTTTTCAATGGGTATTCCTTAACTGAAGGCCATGTGGTAGTTTACATCAAGAACGTAAGTTTTTTGTTTTTTTTTAAATTAAACTAGCAGTTAAGGGAAAACTTTTTGTTTGGATAAAAACTATTTCCTGTAGGTTTTGTTTTTTTTTAACTAAAACACCCTCCTCAACATATGTGATGAGAACAACAGCAGCCACAAAGAAATAACTATGCTACATTAGTAGATGAATTGCATAAATCAACCATTCCCAGTGTGGGAGTTGTGACCCCAAATGGGGTCATAGCACTCAGTGAATGGGTTTGCAATCCTCACAAATTCAGTTGTAATGGTCAGGTGTATACCTAAAGTGGAAAAGATTGGGAACCACTGGCATTAATAGTGGAAAAATAAAGGAGTGTCTTTCCTGTAATCAATGCTTATCCAAATAGCTCTAAAGAAAGACTCTCATATAGTTTTAACCACAGCAAATTTTAAAACACTAGATTCCCAGATGGAGAGCACCTCTCTGGCTTCTGAGAATAATTGTATTTCTTAGAAAGAGGTCCCCACATTGCAGAACAGGCTATCTCACAAAGGATTCAAAAGAGAGTTCTTTATAGGTTAGACTCTTCAGGGGTAGTGTCCCATATGTACTCTCAAAGTCAAAGGTCCAGCCAACCCTATCACAACTAAGTCTTACCAATTTCTATAGCCAGCAGCACACACTGGTGATCAGTGCTGCAGGGGTGACTGCTTTCCTGGGCTCTCAGACTTCTCTGCCCCCCCACCCCCACCCCACTTCCTTCCCACACCGGGGTGGACAGACTGTGCCATGGGTACAGCAGCCAGGGACTTTTTACAGTCCCTGAATCAAGTAAGAATCTCCCCCTCCACCCCAGCTCTTGGCATCCCACCCTTCCTTTTTGTACTCAGCGGCACCTCTCCTCTTCTCCTCTCCCATTCCCCCTTGCCCTCTCTAATTATGCCCCAGGGTGCAGGAAGGGGAAACTTGGCCACCACTGTCATTGTTTCAGCTACTCCTCCCCTGCTCCAGCCAGGGCTACAAGAAACAGCTGTGTGGGGAGCCAGGCTCAGCTGGGGATAGCATATGTAGACCCATTATTTACTTTTCAGTTTACCTGCAAACTTAGATTGGGATTGAGATCCCTAATTATAAATACAATACATACATATTGATCACATCTACACATGTGCCTGACTGCGCAGATGTTACTGTGCAGTCATTGTGTACTCACTAAAGCAAATACTAAAGCAAGTACTAAATGACTGCATAATAACCACTGGTACTGCGCAGTCCCAGTGCCACATGGGTCATTTCCGACCCTACTGCACTGTAGCAACAAGCTACTGCTCAGTAGCTTGTTGCTACTACACAGTAGCAATGGCATCACAGTTTGAGCCCGCCAATGATACATTGCCATAGCTCATCACTACAGCAACATAACATCTCGTGTAGACATGCCCAAGGAGTAGTAGGAGGAGGGAACCGTCAATCCTTCTGGATCATGGTGCATGCATGAAAGGTCACCCAGGCAGGAGTATAAAGGAGTAGAGGCTGCTGTGACCTTCCATCCCCACTTTAGACAGAATACAAAGGCCAGACATCCAGACATTCAGTGCCTCAATGGCTGTAGTTGTATACAGGAATCAAACACAGGTCTTGACAGACAAGAATTCTATCACTGAACCACAGGGAACTCCATACAGAAATAAATGAATGAATAAATAAATAAATACATAATTTGCCTGAAGGCCACTTGAGTCCATGAGGTGCATAGGAGGTGGGATGCTATAATGCAGGGGTGGGCAATTATTTTGGGCAGAGGGCCACTTACCCAGTTTTGGCAGGCTGTCAAGTAGCCCCCCCCCCTTGACAGGTGCTCCACCCCTTGACAGGTGCCCCGCCCCCTGGTCACCATCTTGGGACCAATGTCCCAGGGCCAGCACCAGTGGAGCCCAGAGCAGGGCACAGACCAGCAGGGGTCTGTGGAGCCAAGCTGGGCTGTACCACCAGGGAGCGGGGAGCTGGCCCGGCTCCATAGAGCTCCTGCCAGCTGGGACCCTGTGCTCTTGCCACCCTGCTCTGGGCCCCACCGACACTGGCCCTGGGACACCAGTACAGGCCCTGTGCTCCCACTGGCTCCCCACCTGCTTACACCCAGTGCCCACTAGCCCTGCGGTACAGGCAGGGGGCAGTGCACAGCCCCGACCCCCTGCTCTCCAGCAGGGAAGAAGCTGGTGATGAGCGTGGAGAAAAAACGCCCCTCACCTGCCCCATGGCCAGTGCCCTGCGCTGCAGGCACTCACAGCCCATGCAGAGCTGACTGGAGCAGGCACAGGCAGCCTCATGAGGGGTGCAGGTGGCTGCAGTGCAGGGCACCGGCATGGGGTGGGCAAGGGGCCACTTTTCCCCATGCTCAGCATCAGCTTGTAACCCACCCTACTGCCAGTCAGGGGTGGGGAAGAAGGCAGCCCTTCCCCACCCCATGCCCAGCGCCCCGTGCTGCAGCCACTCGCAACCCACCTGGGGCTACCTCTGCCTGCTCAGGATAGCCCCTGAGCACATGCAATGCGGGGTGCCAGACATGGGGTAGGTGAGGGGCCACTTTTCTCTGCATAGGGAAGGAGCCAAGGGAAAAGCTGACTGTGGGGGGGAAGCAGCCCCTCCCCCCACCCCACGCCTGGTTCCCTATGCTGCAAGCGCTTGCAGCCTGCATGGGGCTGCCTGGAGTGGGCACAGGCAGTCCCACGCAAGCTGCAAGCAGCTGCAGTGCAGGGCACTGGGTGTGGGTGGGGAGGGGCCACTTCCCCCCCGCCCCGTGCTCCTTTCTTGCCTGGGGTCTGTCCCTGCCCCCGAGCTTAGCCATGTGCTCCCAGCCCAGAAACTGCAGCTGGAGCTTCTGGCTGCAGGGCGAGGCTGGGCAGGTCCTGCTGTTGTGCAAGCCCGCTGGGCTTCCCCTGGGTCCTACTGGGTCATTTTTGACAGGAACCAAGGACAGAGAAATATTAATTTTCTACATTTTTTTAGGGGCCCCGCGGGCTGGATAGAATGGCCTTGCAGGCCAGATTTGGCTCACAGGCTGGGTTTTTCCCACCCCTGCTATAATGTATACCACTCCCCC